AGACGTCTCGCTACTCAAAAGACCAAGATTCCTTGTGAACAGAGCATGCGCAGAACACACGCTTTGATGGGGATATCCCGGTATGCGTTTACACGACCAAACATTCGGGTTAGAAAAGGGTTACCCCAGGTGTAGTAACCGGGTTTTTAAAAACCTGGTTATGAGCATATCCGGGTTTCTGGCGGTGTTTACATGGACCTGCGGAACCGGGTTATTGTGAATATTCGGGTTTTAAAAGGGTTACTGGCTAAATGTAAACGCACTCAATGCTTCAGTTATCAAATAACTTTTTCTCATGGGAAAGTTCTCAGCTGAATACAAAAAAAATCTCACACCGTGCTGCACAGTGACCAACCGCCTCTTTTAAATGCATTCATCATCTCTTTCCAGTTGGTTTATCACCCTTCCAACGAAAAAATCATACATCCTCTTGCCCGAATAAGTCTAATCGATAAAGTGAAATCACTCATTTTCCTCCTTGGCTCATTAGCTGAATTCACAGGTGGGGGAAAGCTTGCGTGCATGTTGCAAATTCAACTCATTCTAGCCAAAGGCCATTCCTTTACTGTATAATTGTCTCCCTACCAAGTGATTCACTATAATTAAGCCATGGAAGACAGCTCTATTCTCCTGTGAGCATTTATATTAGTCCTACCACAGGCAGGTCTAACAAACATCTCACAGCTGATGCTTTTAAAACAACGGAGAGTGATGTTCAAGGAGGTAGGCACTAGTTTATGTTCTCACAAGGGAGAATGCAATGTACAAAATGCATCTAGAGAGGTATGAAGCCTTACGGGAGGCCCATCACTGTTGTCTTGGCCACGTCGGACTGTGTGCGACCGTGCTGCTTTGAGCAGGATGCCAAAAACCCATAAACTAACAAAAGAGCACAGCTTCAGATCAATTACAAATAGCTTCACAATAAAATCTGCTACGGTTTGGGTTAGTTGAGTAACCCCGCGTTCTGTCCAGTCACCATTCATTGTCAGACAGGCATAAACATATTTCAGCATATGCCTATCTGACAGCACATATACACTGCCATGTCATCATATAATTTTAAGCTGGATAACACTGTGATGTGCCAGTTTACCCATCAGATTATCATACACTTTTTCAACAACCATATGACACCCTGGTTGTCATTTTGTATATTTCAAAGCTCTATTTTCTCAAAAAAAAAAGTTTAATTAGAATTAGAGGGCGAACACAATCGAAAAACATTTTCATCTTACTTTGCCATCTGCATGCTAAAGCACAAGATGAAGGTGCACGTGTGCACATGCACATGAACTGCATGTGTGCTGCTCTGATATGTATGTTGTTCTGTCAGAACACCGGCACTGGGTCAATGTTAGAAGTGGGGCAGGGTTGGTTTACTGTCTCACCATCTTACCCCGGCTTTCCATGGGAGCCGTCAGCAGCACGTTACTGCAGCAGCACGTCATAGCTGCTGATAGGAACCGCTGTGGTCAACAGAACCTTTTCCACTGGAGCCGTCAGCAGCCGTCAGCAGCGCGAGTTGGCCGCGTCTCAGGAGCAGCATGTCGCGGCCTTTACGCGCCGGTTCTATTTTCTACGCGCGACGCCTCTGAAACGGGTCAAGTTCGACATTTTTGGGGAAGGAAAGACAGGAAATCGGACGCGGAAATGGAGAGAAGCTACCGAGATTTTCAGAATAAAGAACGTACTGCCTTCCGGTTGCTTTACTTTTAAAAAAGGTTACTAACTGAGAAGTTATCACCTAGCTAGCGGTCTCCTTTGTTTTTCAGGTCCGTATTGGCGATTATAAAACGGACAGAACATAAAACACAAACCATGTTGCAATTTTCTCCTGCTTGTTGTTGTGTTTACTGACGAAGTCACTCGTGTGACTTCGTGCTCGGTCGGTGACAGCTGCTCTCCTGCTGCTTCGCGTCGTGTGGGAAGGGCCAAGCAGCAGCTTACGCGAGCAAGACGTGCTGCTGCAGTAACGTGCTGCTGACGGCTCCCGTGGAAACCCGGGGTAAGCAAAATTTTTCTCTTCAAAATTAGATTTAAATTGACAGTTTTTTGAAGTTTTAAATTGACCAGATTTAGGTTGAAAGGAATTTGGATAAGAATGAAAATAATAACTGGCATCCAAACAACGTATTAAACAATAAAATCTAAATATTTATCTCAGACATAATCGATTTTTGATTAAAACTTGGAATGTCATGTTGTAAATATTTAATTTCTGACATAAGTTTAGCTTACTCAGTTTAGCTGGTACTGGCACTATCCTGGTACACAAAACCATCAACACAATATTCAGTATGTGTTAAATACTTGTGCAATACCAGATGTACATTTGTTCGAATGTACATTCTGTTTCCCTTCTGCTGCATAGTTCTGAAAAACCAAGTTACCTTTTAATTAATTGTTTTAGTGGCTGAAGGTTACAATAATAGCTTATTGCTTTTGTGTGCTTACCTTATTATTTTTCTTCTTCTTTGTCTCTAATTGTATGGGCTGCGGTGGGATTAATACATTCTATTCTATTCTATTCTAACATTCAGTCAAAACTACTAAACACATCACCTAAAAGAATGGTCCCAGAATTAATGTTAGAATAAAAACTATTTTTTCTTTGCACCATGGTCATGAAAACTCTTAACCATCATTTTGAGAAATCAACATGTAGCATAAAAACAACTACTGATCAAACTTTGATAAATAAACCAAGGACGATTATTTTGTAGGTCAAATTAGATCCCAGTAATCCCAATAGTACGGCATGTGAGAGTCCAGACCAGACGATGGGAAGGTGGAGGACTTGTGGAGTCAAGTGATTCAAGCCCAAGCCTGCTCACTGTGACAATGTAATTATCAGTCATTTCACTGCTGTTTGTTTGTTCTATAAATGGCATTTTAATTAAACCAAACACATTTTTTATTTAAGAGCAACATCTGCACTCACTGCATAGCTTCTGCTTCTTGCAAATGTCACAGTGGGGAGGAGAGAAAACAATGACAACTGGTGTGCAGGGTTACGCTCATGCCACCACTTCTCCCTACTTTCCTCAATCACACACACATACTCCTCTTTTCACAGTCCAGATAAACTGTGCAGACTGGGTCAAAGAGATGTTTGTCAACATCAAGAGTAAGACGGAGAGAGGCGAAAGCTGCATGCTAAATAGCTCCAGCCTCTATCAAGCCAATCAAATGCCTCTAAGAAAATGAGAGAACGTGGTCTTGGCTAAGGCACCTGGCACTAAGACTCAGGACTCACCCTTCCCATCTTACCTCTCTTTCAAGACAGCTTTAGGCTTTGCATAATGAATCATCAAAATCAATCTTCCCCTGTATTTGTTTCCTTCTTGTTTTTTTCTACAGCTGAAACCAATACGGAGTCTCCTAATCCTCAGTCTCATTTGGTTTTTATTGGATGCTATAGCCAGGAACGATCTTTTTAAGATAGCTTTCTGTGCTCACAACCTTATTTTTTCCTTTGGCTAGAAAGAAGTTGCAAAATGCAGCAAAGCACTCAACCACAATTGCAGCATACAGGTTACTGCTTGCATGTGGAAAATTCCCCAAGTTGGCATAACACCACTAGACAACACTCCCCAAACACTGCCCATGGTTCCACCTGTGTTGTTCCTACACACACACACACACACACACACACACACACACACACACACACACACACACACACACACACAGCAAGCGGTTCCGACAGGCCCAGTAAATCAGCATGCCTGTAAGTAGGTCTCATTGACCCCTCAGCATCCAATAGTGCCTGAATCTCTCTGGATCACCCAGTCGATATATCAATATCCTTCTTGCTTTTCTTGTTTTAAGACCCCCTCTCCCAAGCCAACACACCCCTCTCTCTCCTCACTGAATGTCAAACGGAGATTGGACTCATCAATTTCACGACAGCGTGTGTGTGTGTGTGTGTGTGTGTGTGTGTGTGTGTGTGTGTGTGTGTGTGTGTGTGTGTGTGTGTGTGTGTGCGTGCGTGCGTGTGTGCAATGAGCATGCATGTTTTGCTGCTGTCTATATGAGTAAGCATGACACAAATACTCGTAAAAACACACAGACTGATGCAATTCCTCACACACCACACACACACACACACACAAACATAAATATCCCTCACTCCCATGAGGAAAGTGGGTCATGGACAAAAAGAGTAGACATTGCCAAACAGAATCCAAGAGAAGAGCTCATATATACGAAAATCTATAAACTAAAGATCAGCTGGTTGGCATACACCTGTCAGCTTGAATAATCTTTCAAGTCAGATGTTCGCTGCTCAGCTAAAGCCACTCGTGGTATGTCAGGGTAATTCAATGGCCTGCTGCGTTGAGCAGCCATGCAGCAACGCTGCAGCCAAATGGACGACATACAGATTTAAGCAATGATTACTCTTTCTGTTAGCACCTGAAATGATGTGTGGTGGAGCTGATTAGCCGAGTCAATACATCTGGCAGGTGCACAAACTCTTGCTCATTCTGCAGCAGCTCAGCGCGCACAAAGAAAAGAAAAAAAAGAAAACAAGTGCAGTAAGAGGGGCCAAATAATCCACTTTGTCAGGGCTCCAAATTCTGCTTGGCAAAGCATTCTCATCACAGGTCAGCTCCGCTGTTTGGGCACCTTGAATTGCCTTGAAGGATTCCACTCGACTGACACGTTCCCATTTCAAATAGCTCAGCTTTTCTATCAGCCACAATTTTTTTTCACTGACACTACATGCTTTTTGGTGCAACAGAGTGCTAAATATCACTAGACCTTAAGATGTGTTGCATTAGCTCCATAACTAGCTTCTCCGCTGTGCAATGATTCAATTTGATCAAGTAGGCTTGTTAATTATGGGGACTTAACCTTTTCATGGCTAAGACTTTCTTAGCTGTTAGACTATACTACATCATGGGAAGCCATTTTAAATAGGTTTTATTTTATGCCTGACAGCTAAAGCAGACCAGCCAAGGATCAAGGACAGAGCACATTGGATTGTATCTCACCTCTGGCAGTGGCATGCCGTTGATGATCAGGTCTGGCTGCTGGTGACCCTGTCCTGTGAATGGGTGCTGATAGCCGTGGTTGGGAGCTGCATTGCGTGAGTTCTGGTTCTCCACGTTGAGGAAGGTGCTCTCGGAGCGCCTGCAGCCCAGTGGCAGGCTCTGCTGGTGGTAGTCGAAGTAGTTGAGCGAGGAGGTGAGAGATGAGCAACTCACCACATTCATCTTGTCTGTCTCCTCTACGTCTCGAGGCACCAGGCGGATGTCGTTCTTGCTCAGTTTCTTCTTCTTGCTGGACTTCTTCTGGTTGCCATATGAGTACTCCGCCACCCTGCGCAAGTAGAAGAAACTGAACAGACTCAATAAAGCAGTGTTCTGTCTTCCCCCACCCTTCAGACAGTCAGAAAGCTCACCCATCATGCGAACTTGGGTGCCTTTCAACCACGGGTGCCAGAAACAGGTTCTCTGCCCCTGCTCAGGTGAGGAACAGCTCACATACGTGACCTCCTGCACCCAGCTTACAACAAAACTATAATCCTCTGTTTGTTTGCATTTGCATGCTCAACAATCAACTTGACACAAACAGGCCGACAAAATGCAAACATGCCAAAACCACAGGAGCAAAGCAAATGGGCACACTGATGCTGAGCACTACCGGTGTATGCAATCATATTCAAAGCACAAAGCCTCGTCTAATTCCTCTTTTTTTTTTCATTTAGCCCACAAGCAAGACGAAAAGCAAGAGAACTGCAGATTCGGATTAATTTAGCTGCTCTCTGTGACTTCTGCAAACTGGAACTGGGAATTTTGACTTTAATAAGGGCAAATGAGCAACACTGCCGTGTTTTATCAAAGGATCACCAGACTGGGGAAATATTCACTCTTTGCACAGCCTTGCAGTTTTTTAAGCATAACATAAGCTAAATACAAACTTCACTGGACAGTTTCTATATTTATTTACAGCATCTTTTGAAATTTAACCATCTGCGTCCCCTGGTGAGGTCTTCATTAGATCCACTACAGTTTGCTTACCAGCCTGGCATTGGGGTGGAGGACGCCATCATCTACCTTCTGCACCGAGCTCTGACTCACCTGGAGAAGCCTGGAAGCACTGTGAGGATCATGTTTTTTGATTTCTCCAGTGCTTTCAACACCATCCAACCACGACTTCTGAAAGATAAGTTGGAGCTATCGGGAGTGGACCACCACATGTCTCAGTGGATACTGGACTACCTCACAGAACGACCACAGTATGTGAGGTCACAGGGCTGTGTCTCTGACACGCTGGTCTGCAGTACGGGGGCCCCACAGGGAACTGTGCTGGCACCGTTCCTTTTCACCCTCTACACTGCTGACTTCTCCATCAGCTCCCCACGCTGCCACCTACAGAAGTTCTCTGACGACTCTGCCATAGTTGGCCTCATCACAGGTGAGGATGACTCAGAGTACAGACAGGGGACTCTGGACTTTGTGGACTGGTGTCAGCAGAACCATCTGCTGATCAACGCCGGGAAAACCAAGGAGTTGGTGGTGGATTTCAGGAGGCGCAGACCCACCACAGTGACACCGGTGAACATCCAGGGAGTGGGCATTGAGATAGTGGACTCTTATAGGTACCTGGGTGTTCACCTGAATAATAAACTGGACTGGAGCCACAACACGGATGCTCTTTATAGGAAGGGTCAGAGCAGACTCTACCTGCTGAGGCGGCTGAGGTCATTTGGGGTACAGGGAGCGCTTTTAAAGAGCTTCTATGACTCTGTGGTAGCATCTGTCATTTTTTACAGTGTGGTATGTTGGAGCAGCAGTTTATTGGCAGCTGAGAGGAAGAGGTTGGATAAACTCATCAGGAAGGCCAGCTCTGTTCTAGGATGCACCCTAGACCCAGTGCAGGTGGTGGGAGACAGAAGGTCTCTGGCCAAAATAACATCTCTGATGGACAGAGTCTCCCACCCCATGCATGTAAATGTTGCTGAACTGCAGAGCTCCTTTAGTGACAGACTGCTGCATCCTAGATGCATGAAGGAGCGTTTCCGAAGGTCCTTCCTCCCTGCAGCTGTTAGACTGTACAATCAAAACTGCTCCCAAACAAAACAGTTGTCGGCATCAGTGCTGTAATAACTTCTACAATTATAACTTACACATTACTTTTTCTCAGCTTATACATGCAATAATTTATTGAAGGCTACATGTCTACTTTTTAATGAATGGGTAAAAAATAAACAATCTGCACTCTTTTAATCATCTTAAACTTTTAAAACTATTTTAACATCTTCAGTATCCTGCTATGCTTACACAATATGTGTGCGCCTATATAAACAACTGTATTGTACTCTGCTCTGGTAACTATTGTCCATGATGTAAATAGGTAATAACTGTGCTTCTGTTCTGTGTCCTGCATTGTTTGTATATGTGTGATGTTGCTGCTGACACAACCAAATTTCCCCTTGTGGGACTATTAAAGGATTATTCTATTCTATTCTCTATTCTAAATTTGGTAGTTTGGTAAACCATGCAGAACAGTACAGTATCTTACACTCAGCTAAAAGTATTCATGTTTTATTTGTTACTTTTCATGCAAATCCTCACTTGCCTTCGTTTTTAACCTAAATGCATTGCCACATCCACAATGACTACTGTAGTTTGTTTCCATTGAATCTTTTAGGTTACATCTTAAGAAGCAGCTCCAATCCCCTCTTTATTCAGAGGAAACAAAAATGAGAAAGAAAGAAATCGGCTGCAAGGATGGAAAATACAACATTTCCTTTTCTATCATCTGGGTGGAGGAATTTCAGAGTCAGACTGACAGGACAAGCAATAAATTGGAGATAACCGCTCCTCATGTTTGAGGTGGTGACTGAGAAGCAGAAGCACATCAGTGCCGATTAAAGCTCCCAGCAGGGAGACGGACATGCAGGAGGAGAGGAAAGTAATCAGAATTTGTTTTTGTTTTTAATTTCTATTGGGGAGGTAGCATGATTGTCATTAAAAAAATCAGCTACAGTTTTAATCAAAAAGTCACCTAATTGATTTCCCTCTATTACCAATCAATAAAAAGTATTTTAGGGTGTCAAGAAGTAGAGTAGCAAACATTTCATGACATTTAACAAGTGAAAAAGAAACCTATTTTAGTCAATTCTGTGATAAAAATATAGATATTGAGTTAATGTCTGTCCTTTTTCACAACCACCACTGCTTAAAAATGAAGTTAACCTCAAATCAACAAAACTACACGAGGAATAAAATATGATTATAGCTTCAGGTTAAATTCTCAAATCCAATCTATATGTAAATTTACAGTGGTAACGTGGCACACAGAGGGAAATCAAAGCCAGAGCTGACGTTCCGATCGATGAAGAAAACAGTCTTCATAAAAGCTGGATCTGCAAAACATTCAACTGCTTTAATCTGTAAATCTTCCTTAACAGCTCCTGATCTAACAGATGTTATAAAGGGAAGGGCTAGAACCTTCTTTTTTCATGTTTATTATTACTAATATTATGGTTTTGCTGGTGTGCTTTGATGTAGAGACGTGTGAGTGATCCTGGAGGACTGTCCATAATCACACCAGATTAAAGCTGATCACAGCCAATCAGCCACGGTGGACGTTAAATAATAAATGTCTGGGACTTCCATTGAGTCAGTGGGACGTTAATTGTCCGGCAACACATCCGCAAATTGAACATGACAGCTGAACCGTTGTATTTATGAGTCAATTGGTTACAATGGGAGGATTTAATCCATCAATCAGGGTTCTCCAACCCAGAACAGTGGGCCTCAGCAGAACGGGTGTGATTTAAAGCAGCCGGTTCATTTAAGTCTACCTCAGCTGTGAGAGAGAGGGGAGGGGAGAAAAAGATCTGCAGTCCTCACTCAGGGCCTACATGCTGCATGATAAAAGCAGTGCATTGTCACACACACACACGCACGCACACACGCACGCACACACACACAGTTCAGTACCTGCAGTTATACGTCCGGATCTCCTTGTTATCCCTCTTGCACTTGACTGCCACAAATATCATGGTGATGAACAGGATGGCTGCGATAGAACCCAGCGCGATGATGAAGATGAGGGACAGGTTGACGGCTCCAATAGTCTCCTGCGCGTTCAGATCAGGGGAGAGGTACACCACGATGTAGGCCGAGGCCGACAGAGAGGGCTTGCCGTGGTCTCTCGCCACCACCGTGATCTCATAGGTGGGTTTGGCGTTTTCTCCAAACATCTTAGTGGAGCGCACCTCCCCGTTCACCTGGTCAATCTCAAAGAAAGCCCTGTCCCCCTCGGAGATGGTGTAGGTCAGCCGGCCGTTCTCCCCCTCGTCGTAATCATCAGCTTTCACCTGGGTCACCATGTAACCCACCCCAGCGTTTCTGGGGATGGACACCTCCGCGGTGCCGTTCACCAGCGGGGGGCTGGTCATAACAGGTGTGTTGTCATTCACGTCTAGCACGACAATGCGCACGGTGGCGTTACTGGACAAGGAGGGGTTGCCGTTGTCTCGGGCCAAAACTTTAAAATCAAAAGTCCTGGTGTATTCGTGATCGAATGACCTCATGGAGTAAATGCGCCCTGATGGGTTGATGCTGACATATGTGTTTACATCCATATGCTTAATCTCGCCGGGGACTATGGAGTACGAAACGGTGCCGTTCATCCCCAGGTCCGGGTCCTCTGCAGACACTGCCAGCAGGCACGAGCCTGGGAGGTTGTTTTCCATCACCATCTCTTGATAGTGAGGCTTAAGAAAGTGGGGCGGGTTGTCATTTTCATCCGTGACTTTAACCACCAGCGACTTAGTGACGCGTAATGGAGGAGTGCCGCTGTCCTCTGCCTGGATGGTCAGGTTGTATGTGTCCTTCTGCTCTCTGTCCAACCTGCCATCTACAAGTATAGTAGAGAAGCTCTCATATTCTTGCAGCCTGAACGGAACGTTGCCCTGCAGCCTGCACTGCACTTTCCCGTTGGCCCCTGAATCCTTGTCCGACACTCGCACCAGCGCGATGACATAGCCACGCTGCGCGTTCTCACTAACTTCCACCATCTCTGTGTTCAGTGAGAGCAAACTGATGACAGGTGGGTTGTCGTTAGTATCCATCACGTTCACTGTCACTTTGCAGTGAGCCGGGATGGAGTTGGGACCTAAATCTTTGGCCTGCACGTCAATCTCATATATTTGCGTGGTTTCATAATCCAAAACCCCGTTAACGGTGATGATCCCGGTTCTGGGATCAATTTTGAATGCCTCCCTCGTTTTCTCTGTGACGTAACTGTTGAATGAGTACACAACCTCCCCATTAGTGCCCTCATCAGGATCCGTCGCATTCAGGTCTATGACTAATGTATTGATGGGGGAGTTCTCCATCACATTAACAGTATAGACAGGCTCATCAAAAACAGGGTTGTTGTCATTAGAATCAATGACTTTGATATTTAACTGAACCGCACCTATCTTTGGAGGGTCTCCTCCATCTTCTGCACTGATTTCATATGTATAATGGGACTGGGTCTCTCTGTCTAAGGATTTCTGCACAACAAGCTCAGCTATTTTGGACCCATCCCCTCTGGTCTTTATTTCGAGTCCGAAAAGCTCATTTGGGGTGATGGAGTAAGACTGCACTCCGAACATCCCCGAGTCCGGATCACTTGCCCCCTCTAGGGGAAACCTGGTACCAGGGGATGCATTCTCAGAAATTTCTAAGTCAATATGGCTCGTTGGGAACCTCGGTGCGTTATCGTTCAAATCCTCGATTTCAACTTTAATGACGCAGATCTCCATGGAGTTTGACATCACTTCTAGGGAAATAATGCACTTTGGGTTTTGTCTGCAAACCACATCCCGATCTATTTTCATCTGGGTTGTAAGGATTCCGGCTGGGCTCAGTTCCACCCACCGTGGTTCCGAATTGGAAATAACCCTCAAATAAGGGGGCTGCGGTGCAATTTGAAATCCTTGCTTTAGTGCGTCCTTTGTCACATTTCCAATCACCGACCCGGGCTTCATCTCCTCGTTTATTCCATATTTCAGGTTGATCACAGCCTCAGTCCCGACCCAAAATAAGAGGAGCAGAGCAGTTAATTGTATTAATTCCATCTCCGTCGTTTGCGTCGTACCTGTTGAGTTTTTCTTCTTTGTTTCCCCTGCGCCTAGAATAAAGATCAGGCTAATTACGCACAAAAATGCGCGTCAAAGATAACTAGGGAAATTATACAAACTAATCATCTCAGTAAAATGTCCGTTTAAAAAGTGTTGCTGTGGGATTTTTCCTTCTATATGAGAATCATATCATGATCCGAATCAGTATTCTAAACAAGTGCCGTCTTATTTGGCTCTTCTGAGGCGCAGCACATCCTTCGGTCTACTGCAGCGGGAAAAGCAATGAGGACGACAGGATGGTAGAAACATGCTGATGCTTCTCGCAGTTGTGAACTAGCGGAGTAAATCCGGGCAGCTCTTCACAGGCAGCAGACCGGTCTCACACATGACTCATGCGATGAACTGTCCATTTCCAAAGTGAGCTGAAAGGGGAAAAGGAGGACTGCTTAGAGTCAGAATGAGAAATCCTGTGAGCAAGTCCACAAAAATCTTAATCTTCCGTGCAGATGAAGTGATGGCGCTCAGAAAGTCTGGGTTTCACCACACTGATGGTTAAAATCTGAAGAGGCGGTGATTACATCGCATCTTCCTTCGACTGGTAGAGTGATAAAAGGCGCATCTGATGAAAAGAGAAATAAAAAATATTAAACAGCCCAAGTCCTGATTTCTTTGCCTGTAAGAGGGGTGCAGTTGTGCGTCTTTCTCACACCACTCAAGTCCTGAATCCCGTCCTATTCCACCAGGATGAGTCTTTCCGCAGAATCTTCAAGCTTTCACTTACTAATGAATTCCCTCGGATCTCACTTGGAAAGCCGGGATCCCAGATATTAGTCCATGAAACACAAACAGGAAAATCCGTTGAAAATGCAGCCCAAAGCCAGTGGGATGAAACGGTGCCAGGTCCTTCTGTACATTCATTTAATATTGTGCCGCAGCAAACTGAGGCGCAGAAGCCTATATCCAGCAAGAAAAAAGGAAAAAAGGAAATCAACACGCGTTGCCAGAAGGCTGTCTAGTTGACTCCAACAAGCGCTCCGCTCGCTTCACTGATGCACACTGTCAGACGCGCAGCTCCAAGCCGAGCGCTCAGTCTCCGGACCCGCAATCCCCTCAGCCAATCAGGGGTTACACAGGAGGGCTGGAGCTGCTGATGGGTGGGGCAAAGTACAGCAACGAAACTACCTGTTCTCCTGCAGATGGGGGACTCGACTGGCAATTATAGGGTTGATGCGGCGTCTTTGATGGTCGTGAGCTGGTTGCGAAAAGCAGGGTCTGGGGTACTCATGGAAGGTGGGGAGCTTTTGAAAAGACTCCCGTGGGCTTTTTTTAAATTTATTATTTATTTATTTATTTATTTATTTATTTATTTATTTATTTTTAATTTATTGCTTCCACAGAAGCATGAGGATAAGCACAACTTTTATCCCCCTCTATTTGTAAGATCTTTGCTTTCACATCACACATTTTTACCGAGTCTCACTAACATGCACTCATAGAAAGCACCATTGCATGCAGAGCCAATGAGCTTTTAGTATTTAGTTTTAAACGTTTTTTTCCCAGTAAATAATTTATTTACGGTTTTGAAAAACAACCATATAACACGCTAAACGGGTGAAATAGATACTTTCCTGTCACCTTTTTATGTTACGAAGTCAGCATGCTCCTGTTGCAATAACCAGTTTAAACATGGTTGTGATTTCCAACATCGATAACAATCTAAACGTTTACTTAAATATGCATTTAAGCTTTGAATGCACATTAAACAGAATGGTGGTACAAACTGATCTCAAACGTGATAATGTGAAATAAACATATGACTGATTTAGGCAGCCTCCAACCTGCTTAATTAGTTATAATTAGCTCATATCAAGTAATAATAAAAGGTGATTCCATTACAATAAGGAGGTGTGCTAATTGTTTAATAATGAGGTGAACTGAAGGCTCATTATTATAATAAAAGGAACAACATCAATTAAGTTATAATCTAAGTCGAATAATCTCCTTTCTCTTATCTCCTAATAATTCAGGGTGACATTATGAGTGTTCCTCTGAGCCCAGTAGGAAGAAAACGTACAGGAACTGAATATGAACTTCCTCTGAGAGCATATATTGCAGACTGTCATCACCCTCCTTGAAATCTCACTTTTCTCTTCCTGATAGAAGCAACACACGCTTACAGTCGACCCATCTCTCTCTCTCTCTCTCTCTCTCTCTCTCTCTCTCTCTCTCTCTCTCTCTCTCTCTCTCTCTCTCTCTCTCTCTCTCTCTCTCTCTCTCTCTCTCTCTCTCACACACACACACACACACACACACACACACACACACACACACACACACACACACACACACACACACACACACACACAAACAACCTGCAGACAGTCTGCTCACCCGCCATCACATCCTGTCGGGTTGGGAGGATTTCAAAGTCACAAGGGTGACACCTAGCGTCCGCAGTCGCTCCTCCAGTCTATTACTGTAGTTTGTCCATTCCCCCCCCCCCCCCCCCCCCCCCCCCCCCCCACACACACACACACACACACAGACGAACAATGAAAAACAACAGAGCAGCGCAGGAATATTAATGAAGTGCACCAGCATATCTATTTCCTCCTGTTATTGGAGGAGAAGCCTGCAGTTTGACCACAATTAATATTCTGTTCATGATGAAAATTTTAGATCCTATCAGCCCTAATCAATAGTGATTTAACTCCAAATGGATATTAGGAAAATATCATTACCCTGCAATATGGAGATGTTATTTACCTGTTAATAATAGTTTGATTTGAGATGCTCAAGCTGTCGATTAAACACTTGAGGCATATCTATAGGCATTTTGTGAACATAAGTTTGAGCTTAGCCTTTTTTTTTTGTCACCTTCTCAGATCACTAAAACATTTTAATATCAGACAAACCTGAGTAAATTGAAAATGTGGTTTCCTCATTGTTTTTTCTAAACCAGGCATGTCCAAATTGCCATTTGCAGTCCTCATTTTGCGTGGACCCACTTGCATTTCTGGGATAGTAGAATTTTGTCTCTCCAGAAGATTGTTTATGTAGACTTATGTAGACACTTTTGTAACATTATGTTGCACCAGTGGCGCCCCCAGGGGGTTGCCGGGGGACTCATGGCCACCCCTGGAAAATTGTTGGCCACTCGACTGGCCAACCAAGGGAAGACCCACCCCCTTTAATAAATCATATTCATGCCCACACAAACCATGCATTAATCTTCTTTAATCAAGGTATTAACATGATAGACAATAAAATATTTTATTTTAATAAATAATTTATGTAATAAATCACAGTTTAAGTTTAAAAATGTAAATGGATAAGGCTTACCATTTTCAAAAACAAATAATAAATTCCAATAATATTGTGGATATTTTTGTTGGGACAGTAACAGGCAAATTAAATTTTGAAATTCTAAAACAATAAAATTCGAAACAAGAACTGAAATAACTTTTCTATTTCCCTGAAATGTTTGTTTCCTAAATACAACAAAACTGTGACAGGTGCGTAGGTCAATTATTTATTTATTTTTTATGAAAAAGAATAAACAACCATGCAATGAACAGTCAGGCTAAACTCATCTCGGAGTTACCCTAAAGACCAAAAATTTTCACATACGTTTTCCTGCGAGAACCACGCCTGTTTTAGCCTTGTTTGAGCGGTACCTTTGACCCAGCTCTCACCCTGGATTCTCATGTCAGTTCTCTTGTTCGCTCTTCCTTCTTCCATCTCAGGAACATTGCTAAGCTGAGTCCCATTCTGTCCCGCTCTGAACTTGAGACAGTTCTCCACACCTTCATCTCCTCACGCTTAGACTACTGTAACTCTCTTTTCACGTGTCTGAGCAGAACCTCCCTGAACCGTCTACAGGTGGTTCAGAATGCCTGTGCTCGGCTTCTGACCAAGTCCTCCAGACACACCCACATCACCCCGCTTCTCCTCCAGCTTCACTGGCTGCCAGTCAACTTCAGGGTTCATTTCAAGATCCTGGTTCTGGTCTATAGGGCCTTACATGGACAAGCACCATCTTACATTGGTGATGTTCTTAGTCCCTACACCCCCAGCAGGTCCCTGAGGTCCAGTGATCAAAGCCTACTGGTTGTGCAGCACCAGGCTAAAGACCAAAGGTGACAGATCATTTGCTGCTGTGGTTCCTAGACTCTGGAACTCTCTCCCCCTGAGCCTGAGATCAGTGGACTCAGTGGTCTCCTTTAAAACGCAGCTGAAAACTCACTTGTTCAGGCTGATAACCTTCATCACCCTCTCCTTGTTCTGCTCTCCCCACTTATTCCACCTTCCTCAGGATCCATTGATTTCCCTCTTTCCTATTCACTCTCTTTCTTTACATTTTTAATCACACTTGTCTATTTTTTGCTCATTTTAAAAATATTTTTAATCATTTTCTAAATTATTTTTTATAGTTTTACATTTTTTGTTTTTGTGAAGCACCTCGTGATTTTTATCTTGAGAGACGCTATAGAGCTCCGGACCCCACGTGACTCTCAGTTAGTGGACGCCATTTTGGCATGCAAAAAAGGTAAACAAACACGGATGTAACCATGAACATGAACGGGATCCGCTTGAATTTTACTTCGTCGGAGTTTACTTCACACTTTAAAACAGAAGAAATCGTTTTATATAGTCAGAAATTAAATAGACTAAACATCTCTGACCCTTACCGTGCCCCTGGGATACTTTTTAAAAACGCCAGAAGCTGTCGGAGCGGACTTCTTACCGGAACAACACCGGACCTGGCCGGGGGAACCCCTTGGGATTCCCCCAGCCGGAGGAGCTGGGGAGAGGTCTGGGACTCTCGACTCTACTGCCCGCTCCGACGCCAGAAGCTGTCGGAGCGGGCTTCTTACCGGCACAACACCGGACCTGACCGGGGAACCCCTTGGGATTTACCCGGAGGAGCTGGCTCCGGCGGTTGGGGAGAGGGAAGTCACGCTACTGCCCCCACAACCCGATTCCAGATACGCGGATGAAAATGGATGGATGGACGGACAAATAACAGATTTTACACGTAAGTAGTCTCGGTGAGACAGATAATAGCAATACAAAGTGCTTTTTATGTGTGATCTGACAATTGATCAACCATTGCTTAAAAATAAAATACAGCTTAACCGGTTAATTGCTGTCATCATAAAACACGGAAACGGCACGACGCAGAACTCACGAGGAAACGTTTTACGTGATGTTTACTTGCTGCTGTGAGTAATAAGACAGAAAAAGCCACGCCAAAATAAGGCGCCCACTTCTTCTTAGGAAGCCCACTAAGAATCGTAATAAAAGCATTTAAAATAAATACCATACTCAGTTGAGGAAACGTTGGTTTAAGTACCTGATATGAAGTGGTCGCTGCATAAGTGAAAACCTTTACTCTCGGGATCCCACAGTTTCATTTTCGACCGGTCACTAGCGCATTTTATTACAACGATCCAACGTTTACGGCATTCCGGATCTTGGGGAATCCTGTAGATGGCTCATTCCTTATGTCGTCCGCATCTGTTCTGCATCCTGGGGCACAACAGGAATCTACCATATTTCCCGTTTGATTGAGTTTTCTGACAATAACAAATAGTCCAGCTGCGGGCTTCTGCCTGCCAAATGACGCCGTTTCGATTTGAACTGTTGCATGCCGGGAGAAGTGATGTCAACTCCTGGAGCTTTATAGAAAAGATCTCTTCTTCTTCTTCATCATCATCATCATCATCATCATCTTCTTCTTCTTCTTCTTCTTCTTCTTCTTCTTCTTCTTCTTCTTCTTCTTCTTCTTCTTCTTCTTCTTCTTCTTCTTCTTCTTCTTCTTCTTCTTCTTCTTCTTCTTCTTCTTCTTCTTCTTCTTCGTTCTTTTTGTAACCCACAAGGGCTTTTAACCTGATGATTTTTGCCCTTGTTTTGAAAAGTTTAGGCACCCCGATGTAAACCAACCTGCTCCTGTATGGAAAGGAAATTGACCCCCTCTTGAAACCAAGCTTTAACTGTGATTAACCACAATATTTGGATAGTTGATTTAAGTTTTAATAGCCCAGTCAAGACCTGATTACTACAAGATTGGTAGAATAAAGAAATCACTTCAGTAGAATCTCT